CAGAACGGTTTCAATAATTATAGAACTCATGTTTTTCATTTTATGAAGAATTTGATAGTATCTTTTCTCTCTCATGTGATTTACTTTCCCAATGTCTGTGTGATTGCATCTCTCAAAATATGATTTGAGTTTTCCTGTTTGGAATGTTTTACCAGTGTGGTTATTAATGCTGAAAGTCTTATAGTTTATGCTAGCAATTCTTTGTAGAAGAAGGCCCTAGAAAATGTTGATCCTAGATAATTTTCACTTCATTTGATTACATTTGATAACATTGAGATATTTGTATTATGTAGAGCATCTCTCTCTCTCTCTCTCTCTCTCTCTCTCTCTCTCTCTCTCTCTCTCTCTCTCTCTCTCTCTCTCTCTCTCTCTCTCTCTCTCTCTCTCTCTCTCTCTCATATTTTGAAATGTTCTTTTTTTTTCGGCAGGCGGATAGTCCCGTCTGGGAGGCCAGAGGGACAGCGCACTGTGAGTGCTCCATCGTCGACACTGGGCCCAGGCCTGGCTTCAGCTGGCGTTGGGCAGCAGCAGCAGCAGCACGGGCACCCTCAGGCCCCCCACCCACAGGCCCACCCTCAGGCCCACCAGCACCCACCCTCTCAAGCAACCCACTCTCAAAGCGTACCTGCAGCCACCACCGCCACCTCCTCCTCCTCAGCCCTTGGCACCAACAAGCCGCACACCCTCGCCAGAAGCATGTCACGCAAGGAGCAAGTCAAAGCGTAAGTTATCTGCTAATTTTTGTCTTATTCTTACACTTTTTCTTCTTCATCTTTTTTCTTGTTTCTTCTTGCCTCTTCATTGTCACTTTATGTTCCGTAATCTACTTTGCACTTTCTTTTTCTTGAGCACCGTAAAGTAAAGTAGGTATTACACTGTGTCAGATGTTACTGAATAAGCTCATAGATGTTAATCATTCTTAGCACCATTAAACAGTGCAGTTGTTTGGCATTCCTGGTTGTAATAACTTTATGAGGATAAATCCAGAATGCATCTTTTCCACATTGGCCAAGATCCTCAAAATACATGATTATTTGGATATTACTCATGGAATTTCAGCACAGTGTTATACCCCTCAAACTTCTGTACAGTACTTTGCTTAGAAAATCTTTTTCATCTGTCATCTCAAACTATTTTTCTTAAATAGATCTAATGCATTATAGTGTTTTGTATGAATAGAGCATCTTGTTGAAATGAAGTTATCATTTTTTTTTTCTTTTCCCTAGCTTCTACAAGTTGAAAATATTTTTGGTTTTGTTTGACATAGTAGATTGAAGGCCTGTTATACCTGTCTGGGATTATTACCATTAAAAGCTACTCCTCCTGCAGTGACATTAGATTACTTGATATCGAAGGTCACTTTCACAGTAACCAAAATGCAAGACTTGTCACTTGTAGAGTAGTAATAGTCTGACATGCATTAACAACAGATACATTTTTTTTCATTGTATACACAAACTGTCCACTGCATGTACATATTACACTGCTGTGTGTGTGCACTAAGCCATCATATGCCCACCTTATGTGGTTGCAACTACACTGCAGCAACTTCTCAACAGTGCATAAATTGTGTGCATTACAGTGTCATAAATAGAAGAATAAACTACATCAGGAAAAACTGCAGGTACACTGTTAGGTCAGAAACAAAAACATTCCATGCTAGTCAGGTGCACAGGAGCTGTCATTGCATGGAGATGCTCTAGGCTTTGTTCTAATGACTTCATCTCCTTCAGGGCAGCAGAAGAGTCAAAAAAGTAAGTTTTGCGTGTATGGGAATCCAGGTTCCCCCCCCTCCTCCCCTACATTCTTCTTTAGCTGAAAGTGTTTTATTGTTGTCCAGTGTCATAAGATAATTTTCCAGAATATCATTCATCACCAGAAGTGCTTTATCCTAACTGAAAAATGAAACTGCTTAGCATTTGTAGTTAATATATCCACATGAAAGCAGCTTTTTAGCAAATGTTCATAAGAGACTGTCAATACTATAATTCCACATCAGAAGTACTGATTATTTAGATATACAGCTTCCAAAGTTCAGTTGATTGTGTTACTCAGTACCTGGACTGCATTCAGATACTCTGTAATAATCACAGTATTGTCTGTTCTCTCATCAGGAAAATCTTTAACCATCTTTTGCTTTGTGGGGCTTTGTTTTTTGAGGGGAACGGGCCAAAGGAAATTGTTTCATAGATTCTTGCTTGCATTCTTAAAAATGTTTGGCTGAAATTTATTTCTGTTGCTTCTGCCATCCTCCCTCCTCTTTTCTAACATTTTCTTGCTGCTTGAGAATTAATTTTTTTTTGCTTTTTGGTTTGAGGTGAATACAGATTGGTTGTATTTTTAGTGAATGAGTGAATTACAGAAGCAATATATATTGGTAGATTAGCATGACTTAGTGCATAAATATTTTGTTAAATCTTGGTTGTAACTTTGTGCATTTCAATATCTAATACCTTTTGCATAGTCATTTTAGATTATGAATTTTGGAATTTGATAAATTTTCTATTACTATTTCATGCCTTTCCAAAACTACCTCTGACAAGTGTGGTATTTAAAAAAAAAAATTATAGTATTAGTATACAAATTTCATCCAGTTCTCTCCTGGACACCCCTCTCTCTCTCTCTCTCTCTCTCTCTCTCTCTCTCTCTCTCTCTCTCTCTCTCTCTCTCTCTCTCTCTCTCTCTCTCTCTCTCTCTCTCTCTCTCTCCCTCCCTCTCCCTCTCCCTCTCCTCCTTCTCTCTCCCTCTCTCCCTCCCTCCCTCCCTCCCTCCCTCCCTCCCTCCCTCCCTCCCTCTCTCTTTCCCTCTCCCTCCCTCCCTCCCTCCCTCCCTCCCTCTCTCCCTCTCTCTCCCTCCCTCCCTCCCTCCCTCTCTCTCCTCCTTCTCTCTCCCCCTTCTCTCTCCCTCCCTCCCTCTCTCTCCTCCTTCCTCTCCCTCTCTCTCCCTCCCTCCCTCTCTCTCCTTCTCTCTCCTTCTCTCTCCCTCCCTCCCTCTCTCTCCTCCTTTTCCCTCCCTCCCTCCCTCTCTCTCCTCCTTCTCTCTCTCCCTCCCTCCCTCCCTCCCTCCCTCCCTCCCTCCCTCCCTCCCTTACTTTCACTCTCCTTCCTCTTTCTCTTTCCCTCTTATACCCCCCCCCCCTCCCCACCATTCCTTATACACACTTGCAGTCTCTCTTAGCCTTTCTTCCCCTGTCCTGCCCTCAAACTCTAACCTGGCACATCACCTGCAGATATGTGAAGAAGGAGACGCGAGAGTTCTTTGGACTGGACGAGGCCTGTGAGGAGGGCCAGCGACTGCGATGGCAGGAGAAGCGCAAGCGCCTTGCTAGTCGCAAGTACGGCCAGCTCAAGGACCACAGCAACACTACCCACCACACACTGTCTTTCACCAGTGACTTCCACGCCTTACCAGAGGTGAGAAGGAAGGAGGGGGAGGTAGATGGAGGGAGAGGAGGGCATGGGTGGGAGGAGAAGGGGAGAAAGAGGGCGATGAAGATGGAAGGTGAGAGAGAGGGAGGTGGGAGATTGGAGGTAGGGGAAGATGGGGGGATGAAAGAGAGGGAGAAGGAGGGAGAGAAAGGTGGTAAGAGGCAGGAAAGGAAGATGAGGGGGGTAAAGAAGGGAAAATGGGAGGGAGAGGAGGAAGATAGGAGGCAGGAAAGGAAAGAAGGGAGGAAAAAAATAGGAGAAAATGGATAGATTATAGAGTACTTATAATGCAAAAATAAAATTTTCCAAAGATATACTGCCAGGATACAAAGGTAAACAGATTCATAATTTGAAGGGTACTCAGAGTTATACAAACTACTTATGCATAGAAGAATTTAGAGTATACAGTGTTACATTATACTGGATATGCAGTCTTATAGTTTAAAAGTATACACTTTTACAGTTTAAAAGATTCCATCCTTCGGGGTAATACTAATAGTAGTTTTATAGCTAGATTGTTTGGAATTATATATATGCGCAGGCAGCTATTACTTATAATGTCATACTTGTGTGATTAAGATGATACAGGATCTTCCATAATAATTTGGCTGTCTGGTTATATCCACATGTTTGTGTTTGTGTGATACCTATGGGTGTATAAATTTAAAATGAGATTTGTATGTGCATTCCTTCAGCTTAGTGAATGAATACCTACATTATAGTGGAATGTGTCTCAGAGTGACTCCTTCTGATAACCGTTTCTCCCTGGCTTATCTCAGCTTCAGGAGGGAGCAGCCAGTGGCTTATCAGACTCCATAGATGGAGCGACCTGGCCCCAGCCTCCCCACCGCGGGAAGGACTCCGTCGCCAAGATGACCTGGGACGGCCTCTCCTTCGTTGCAGCTGTGAGTACCAGAGGGTCACTGTGTCTAAGGATGCTAGTCATGTTTAGTGCCATCATCTTTAGATCATGTCTGTATGCACACTCATCTGTACCCTCATATGATCTGGGTAGATGATGTATATAAGTTTTCTATCTTTACTAATTGTATTTTATTGCAGAAGGTAGTTTTTTAACAAAAATGTGTTTGTTTGTGTATGGATGTCCTATATATAACTTTAACCAGTTGGATCCAGGTGACATGATGCATGTCATAAAAGAAAAAATTGGCTGAGAGCTGGGTTAACACAAGGGTACAGTCATGAAAATTTTGTCTGAAGGCCAGGGTGATGGGAGAGACTGCACAAAGCTCTGGAGGAAGAGTAGACTCAGTTGGCATTCAAGAAGGGGCTATTACATTATTTCCAATACTAGTTGAGGGTGGAATTTACCAGTTTTTTTGAAGAGTTCCAGCTCCAGGGAGGACATGGTTTCTATGCTCAGAATCCTATTCCTTCCCGCTGTTACTTAAAATTAAATAATCCAAAAATATAAAGTTGACACAAGTAACATAATGTTACCTGTTACTGATATTGGCCAGAGTTGTAGGCTTCCTAGAGAGGTAATATGTAGTCTAATCAAGGCTTGTAGGCTGGGCACATGCAAACTTGTGTGTGTGGTGACATGACTAT